ACAATTTGGAGAAGAAGGGCGGTGGGGAGTTTTATGAGTTTAAGAATTGATGAAGACAAAATGGGCCGCTGTAGCCGGGGTAATAACTTGTGGGGCTTCACACTGCTCCTTATGGGCCATGTTCCGACTCGGCCTGTCTTTTAGTGGCCCAGAGAGTTTAATAGGTGTACAGTACAGTCACTGTTTAATTAATTAATTTAAATGTTATTAGGGCTGCGTAATGTCAAGAATCTGGCGATTCGACACGTACCACGATAAATAGCCAACGATACGCTACATAGTCATATACTGCAATACTATAGACAAGTGTGATCCTAGTCTCAGACTCTGCCCCCCCCCAGTGTGATCCTAGTCTCAGACTCTGCCCCCCCGCAGTGTGATCCTAGTCTCAGACTCTGCCCCCCCAGTCGAAACCGCCATCAGAAAACCCCGGGCCTGTCGTAGCTAACGTTAGCGCTGGTGTCTGTGGCGGGACGTTCGGAGCTAATGGATGCATCATCTGCATTTTTATTTATTTATTTATTTTAAACATTGACATCCACACACTGAAGTGTGTCTCAGACTCTGCCCTCCCCCTCCCCAGTGTGATCCTAGTCTGAGACTCTGTTCCATCTGAACATCAGTTCCTAACTCTGGAACAGAGGGATCTACATTTGGAATCACTAGAGAAGAAAGAAAAGAACAAGAACATGAACCAACACCAGGAATATTGGATAAAATCAAGAACTGATCAATGACTGAGGACATTGATCTGGGATCAGGAAATAATATTTCAATATACTGAAATATCTCAATATTTCAGTTTAGAAAATATTGAGAAACTGAAACAAAGAAATGCAAAAAAAAAAAAAAAAAACTACATCAGAATCGTTTTGACATTTTTACCCTAAAACCCTGAGCTGTTATCACACGTGACACTACGACCTGTCCTTCAGCCATCCCACCAACTGCAGAACCATCAGAACACCATGTAAGTCCTACGCTGCGTTGACTGTGTCAAGTCTTCGCAGCAACACTTCAACATCGACCACGACCTCTTCTTAGATTTCAGACAATGTTTCTGGCTCTACATTTTGCAAATGATTGAATGGAGTTGGCAGAGACTGTGCCGAACGTTGAGCAAAACAAACACAGATGACCTCGTCTCCCAGAATGCACTGCAGAGAAACTCCAGCTCATCTGAGAACTTTTTAAGAACACATTATTTCTAAGATGATGTTTTGGCAGGCGATCATGTTGTAGACAAAAACTATAAGAAGCTTAAACTCCACTAAAATGCTACAATATATTCTTTAAAATATTAAGTGTTTCGATGACATTTCATCCAATAACATCGACCAAATGGTATTAGCTGAATTGTGTAACATCAGTAAGAATCGTTATCGGGTTTTTTTCCTTCGATAATGAAAACCCTGGGTTTTGCCCGAATGACGTGTGCTGTAAAAATAGTTTTAGACGTTAAACTGAATTATTTTTGTACTGTATCGTCACAAAGAAATGTTTTCTGCGCCGTTAACCAAAACAGCCGCATATATCGGAATCAGAAGCTACGGGTTTGGACAACATCGGAATATCTGCAAAAAGTTAATATTGGACATCCCTAATTATATTATATTATATTATACAGTATGACGTGTGTGTGAACCTTCTGAGTGAAGCTACATCTTCTGCTACAATCCTGGCTGCCTCTCACAGGGAAACTAACTGGACATCAAAGCTTTTAGGTCAAAACTCCATTTTAACCAAGTATTATTAAGAAGAAAGAAGCATCAGATTAAATATGCCCTGAAGTATTTAGATGAACATTTGCTAAAAAGGCTCTAAAAACACTGATTTTTTTTGTTTGTTTAAAAAAAAAAAAAGAAAAGAAAGAAAACATGTTCATCATCGACAAAGAGTCTGATTTGATCCAAACAAACAAACAGTTTAATGTTTGTAATTAAAAAAAAAAAAAGAGAAGAAAGAAAACATGTTCATCATCGACAAAAAGTCTGATTTGATCCAAAAAAACAAACAGTTTAATGTTTGTAATTAAAAAAAAAAAAAGAGAAGAAAGAAAACATGTTCATCATCGACAAAGAGTCTGATTTGTTCCAAACAAACAAACAGTTTAATGTTTGTAATTAAAAAAAAAAAAAGAAAAGAAAGAAAACATGTTCATCATCGAAAAAGAGTCTGATTTGATCCAAACAAACAAACAGTTTAATGTTTGTAATTAAAAAAAAAAAAAGACAAGAAAGAAAACATGTTCATCATCGACAAAGAGTCTGATTTGATCCAAAAAAACAAACAGTTTAATGTTTGTAATTAAAAAAAAAAAAAAAAGAAAAGAAAGAAAACATGTTCATCATCGAAAAAGAGTCTGATTTGATCCAAAAAAACAAACAGTTTAATGTTTGTAATTAAAAAAAAAAAAAGAAAAGAAAGAAAACATGTTCATCATCGAAAAAGAGTCTGATTTGTTCCAAACAAACAAACAGTTTAATGTTTGTAATTAAAAAAAAAAAAAAGATCTTCATCAAAGCAGACACTAATGGAACCACAAAACAAAGAGACGTTCAGGAGGGGGTCGAGTCCCTCCCCAAGGACAGACTGTTGGTCAACATGGCAGCACATGTCACGTCTGCCACTTAAACTGTCCAAAGTGTAAAAAGGACAGTGTCCAGATGTCAAAACGTCAGCACGCTCTCCCACAGCCCGTCCGTCCAACGTCTCGCCGCTCTCTCTCTGTCATGTTCTCAAGTGTCAACATCCGCCAAAAGCTTTGGCCAATATCACCCCGTCTGAGCCGCCCGTCAAGACGGCCGCGAGGCCACACCTCCTTTCTCTTCCATTACTGCACACAAACCCCAGGCGGCTCCACGGGACCAGACAGCCCGCCTTGGCCCCTGGCTCCGACTATCGATTGGTTCTTACGGTAATGGGCGTCTGTCTCCCTATTGTCTAATTGGCTAAGTGATGGGATTGATCCTCAGATTGTTCTCTAAGTTCATTTGCTGCGGCCGACATTCAGGCCAGCAAGTGGACTGCATCACGTGTTGGGAGCTGTGCAAGACATTCTGTGTAATGGCTCTGTAATTGATCAACTGGTGCTGGTGGGCGGGAG